GTCGACATTGGATTATTCCACCAAATTGATATCTATATTATCGGGCCGCTTATATAGTTGAATACTGTCAGTGTAGCGCAACTACAACCAACTAACGATCAAACAATTATTGTTTATGCACATGAAGTAGACCTTTCACCTTTATGTAGGAAAAATCAGTGGGTCTGCTTCATGTGCATTTTACAAGTCGCCTACAGCCAGTTTAAATTATGTTGTTTCTTCAACTCATCAGGGATAATCCAGATTATATGCCTGAGTGATCAGTTGCTAGGTCTATCAGTCTACTTTGCTTATAGACTGGTACATACAAAAGGAAATCAGTTATATATGTTTTATACGCTTATTTACATAGGTACAACTCTGTACAATTCAAATAATGGAAGCTAGCACAGCTTAAGGCTGAAGGAAGCATAATCTTATAGTCCATTAGGTGGTTTTCGACAGCTAAAGCGTTCTCATCCAATCGAATATATTTTCTTTCTTTGAGGGTGTGGTTTGTCGGGACACCTCTACATTCCTATTATCAAAGAGTCTAACCACCAGGCCATCAAGCGAGGTGTTAGTTAACAAGTGTATTTTGGCGTTAGTCTGCAGCAAGAAACAAGGTAACGCTTTGGTAAGACATTTAATAGTATAAATATTTCTATACAGTTTTATAGCAAGCAGATAATTACATCTCGCCTCCCGCCGCATTAGCATTGCTCAATCTTCATCCGCGTACATTTGTATTGACTTTTGACACATAAATACCTACCGCCTAGCAGTTGGTATATAAACGTTTGACCTAGCTGACCCTGCCATTGCTGGAAATTTACGCCATTGCTAAATTCACATTCCCTAAGTAGTATTCCAGTGAAACACTTGCACATTATTATGATTTCAAGGACGGTCATTTCCGGAACACCGTCCAACGCAGTAAGACAAGCAATACTCGGAACACAGTCCGCAGACATGACAACTACCGATCAGCATTCACCGAGCACCATCGCCATTAAAACCCCATCACAGCTCACCAAACAAAACAACTGACCAATCAAAAGACCAGACCTGCAAAACACCCATGTCCGCTCCCCATGCTATACTGAAACCCAAAGGTCTGCCCGTGTGCACACCTACCAAATTGCCACACGCTTCAAAATCCAATGGCATTTTGCAACAACGCACTACCCCAAAGCATTGCCAATTGTCCAAACAACAACCCAACCACAACCGCATAACGAAATGTGTTTGTTTACTCAAAAAGGTCTGTCAACGGACAAAACACATTAACAAGCTACACGAGCAAATATCTTTAGGCATTTGCTAACGTTTACCGATAAACACATTTGCTATATAATCACTATAAAGAAATGAGATAACACCACAGGACCCCAAAACAATCAAAGCACCTTCACCACATAATAATAATAGGGAATAACGCGACCACAACCTAAACCACCAGCAACACGCTAAACGCCTTATTGATAGGGGTGTGTTTAAAAAATACAAAGAAATAGAAAAACACACAGTTAAGAATGAAAATAGAATATCCTAATGTATATAAAAAATAAAAGTAGGTATTCAGAGGGATGTTTATAGATTGAAAATAATTACAGTTTACATCGGGCAACAGTGAAGTTGGAGGTAAATATATGGGAAGTCGTCCAGGAGAAATAAACCAGCCCAAGTTAGCGCATAATTTTGGTATATGGTAAACTGTGTAAAGTATATTGAGGCTTATTATATATCAAGAATAGTTCAGCTGTTGCTGATAAAAGATAAGGAGCGCTAAATAAAAAGGTTAAATTTCGGGCTAAATGTCATCAAGTTTGGTCTCCCAGGCAGGGCAGGGTACGTATTTATGGTGAGTTGTGAACGTGCTGAGGACCTTGCAGCATTGAGAGAGAGTCTGCATAATTGAGGTTATAATTGTAATGTGTAGCTGTAATGGTTGTTTTTAACTTGTAAACGCCGAATATCACATCCGCCAACAGAATTTGTATCCCGATCTGATATGAAAAATGAATGATGTTTATAAAAATTAATGTGGTGGTAATTTGCGTGTAGAGAATTTAACGCTTCAGTTTCTGAATATATATAAATTAATAAAAAAATTCAATTAAACTGTAAAGGAGTCCCAGTGAAATGGAATATTCAGAGCCTTAGTGAAATCTTACACTTGCTTCATTAAGGAATTTAGCAGCGCAGAAAGGGGCTGGGTGGAACTGAAAATGATGTGGTTCAGGGATAGGACATGTTAAGGAACTTAGCATCGTAGAAAGGGCCACAGGCGGGTGGATAGAAGAAGGTCCTGTACTGCACAGTCTAATGTATTTGTTGCATAATGTTGTTTAATTGGATATGTAGGTAAGTGAGGTCAGGGATGCATTTAGAGGCACCCAGTCTTTGTGGCTATTTTGAGGCTTTGGAATAAAGCGCTTGGAAGTTTAGTTTATCATTATCGATCATTAGAATGGAGGATTTGGAGAAGCGCACCCCTGTGTGCACAGCCTAAATGTGTTGTAGATATGTTGGAGGGTTTGTTTATCTGCATCCCAGTGAGTAAGTCACGTTTTGCTTCCTCTATTAGATTTAAATCGTTGCAACATTAGCTCACCAAATTATGAACATAACCAATACAGGTAAATTATTCCATATATCTAACGGGGTTTCAAGTCATTAAAATGGGAAACGAAAAAGGATACACACTAGAAAAAGATATTTTTAACACACTGTAACCAATCAGCTTCTCAAAACCTACGTGAAATGTGTAGCTGTAGCCTGGTGAGGTGTACATATATTCTGTACATAATTGCATTGTTTTAAAGATAGGTAAATCCGTTATTATAAAGAAATACTGTTGCAGTCACAATTCTCTCCAAGCGGAAAGCTCACACTGCATGTCTGACTGGCGAAACTGTCTTGTAGCATGTATTTTTAATCATGCTAGGTATGATACATATCCAAACTGTTGTTGTTACTAACCTAGTGATATGATCGTGGTGATCGTCACTTTATCCAAGATAGTCGTATAGTCAAATGTGTTTAACTAACTTCTGTCATAACAAACTAAACTTAAGAAAAGCAAAGATTTATGGATATCAACTTATTGTGAATAACACCCGATGTTTGATGCATGCTTACTCCTTCATCAGGGTGAATGGTAGGGAGTATGAGAGGGTCTATATATAAGGAGCCACTACAAAGATGTATATATCCCCTCATACTCCCTACCATTCACCTACTGGATGCAGTGCACATACACCTCTGAAACGTCGTGTTATTACAATAAAGAAGTTGGCATCCATAAATCTTATTTTCTTGTGCATTCCACTTCTAAATGCCCTTCAAATATTTGAAACTAAACTTAGCTTTTCCTTTTAGTTATTACAAAAGTAGGTAACTGCATGTAGCTTCTGCACCCCCTCATCAAAAAAGCTTCCAGATGATATATTTAAATTATATTTTTGTTCAATACTTTTTTTCACGCTAAGGTTGGTCCTTCAGAAGTTCTTTTCCTTGACGGATGAGGGAGTTCAAAACACTTGGGATCGAAGCCATTGGCGAAGAGCTAAACTCAGACAACGCTGCAAAGATTTCATCTGTGGTAAAATCCTCCTTTAAAATGGCTAAAATTTGAAATGTACGGCATTAACGTTATGTCTTCTGCTCAAAATACTGCCGATTCACTTAAAAATAATTGAATTCAAAGTGTACACATGTAAACAATATGCAATAACATATCACAGCAACTGATATACATAATATGGTATAGTTAAATAGGTAGCTTCATTATATGTTTGCAAATGAATTTTTACATTCATATTCAATGTGTTTGAAGTAACTTTGTTATTTCATCTGCAGAATCTATACCAGAATCACCAATTGTCCAACGAGTGAAAATGTTTCAGTCACAGAGGCTTAATTTACAGGTATTCCTAGTATATCCTAGTATGTTCCCAGTTGTGGGGTAAATGATATGCACTCTGTGTAAAGAATGTTTTACCACTGAGGTAACAATTTTTCAGTTTTAACTGATAACTATTCTTATTCATATTCTGAATTTCTGGTGTATTGGTTCTTCGGTTATTCGTGGGTTATTTTGAAACTTTGATAACGACAGTCTATGCTGACACCAAGGCATGAGCTAAATCGATGCACATGTAATGTTTTGAAATTTTATCTATCAATCAATTTGTATTTGCTATTTTGCATTGTTATTATTTGTTTTCAGTTTTGTCTGACCATGTATGATTCAATATCATAAATAAGTATTACATAATACCCCAAAACTGGACACTTTCAAGTTGATAATTTATTATCGAGTTTTGTTTGCATATATGTAAAGTTCACTGTTTGTTTGTAGTCATCATGGAGGGCTGACAACGGAGCCTTCAGAGGTTCGAAATCAGCAACAAGGAAGATCAAATAAGGATGGAAACGCCAAACCACTGGCTCGTTCAAGCTGATACCTGCAAGTAAGGGAGGGGGGTGCCCATGACATTGATGCCGGTGAAGCACCTCTCACTGGCTGAGCTGGAAAACAAAGTTTGCGAGCTGTATTTTCCAGAGGACAGAATACAGTTCAGGACTTGCTCCTGTCAAATCTCAATGTCTATCTGGCTAATTTCAGTGGCTCAAAACTGCAGGACACCATTAATGGAGAACCCTTCACTGTAGATTTATTCTACAAGAGTAGGAAATCTCACCCAATTAGAGTGTATCTTCACACATGCGCGACAAAAGTGAAAACGTATATATATAGTATTGACAGGAAATGAAAATATTAACATTCAGTAGGGCACTTCCATCATTAGTTCTGACGGTTATATACCCGTTTGTTCCATGGAGTCATGTGTGTTCATCACTCTGTTTGATGGTTCTGAAAAACTGTCATAAATGTCATAAGTCAACTGTTTAGTCTTTAGTGCCTGTTTTCTCCATTTATGCGTGTGTGTATTTCCTTCTTTCCACAGACTGTCCATCTGAAGCTGCTACTGATCACATCCCTGTGACACTCAAATGACCCTAAGGCTGATGAGCAAGAGGTATATATTCAGTTGTCCTGATAATTGTTCTGATGAAGCAAAGGGGGTTTGGTATCCATTGTTTCACAGGTTGATCTAGGTGCAAATTGTAATGGCGTAATTGTGTGACAATGATAAAGTTTGTAAAAATGAGAAAAAGAATCATTATTGCATCTATTTTAGGAGCATCTGAGTGTGGTGCTATTTTTAAGTTCTTTACTTTCCCATGTTAACACATACATGTTAACATATGGCATGAAGTACAGGTATTTGGTATGTAACAGACAACAGTTACTGATGATGTAGTAAATAAATGATGATGAAAATGGTAATTGTCCTGATAAATAACAGTACTCCATCTTTGGTGTAATTTGCATTGAAAGTGTGGCAGTTATGTATTGCAGGCTGTATGTTTACACAGGATGTCAACGGAACCACCCCAGATGACCAACATCAGATGACCAACATTCATCAACATTGTTCTGATGAACAGGTATAGTGAATTAGTCTTGGCCAATATAAATGTAGTTCTTTTTCAGCGCCACCACAGTGTAAAGTCAGGTGTATTTTATGTGTTGTAGCGTTATGGCGGCTTCAAAGTTCTAGGCCCCCGATGATAGTTATCCGTGAAATGAGCACAGTAATTTCACTCCACCATTAACGTTTTATATGTGGAAATGACATACACATACTGGTGATTAAAAAATGTTATTAGTTGTAATCTTTTCAACCGTTGGCTTTTTCATTTCCTGTTAGGGTTACAAGTCATGGACAACGGCTGACTTTAATCTATGAGGAGCTGCCTCAAATATATACAGTGGGACGCCAACCATTGTCTTCAATACACTTTTATCACTTGCAGGTGTTAAATGTGTACTCAAACCCTTCTATAACAAGTACAAATATCATCTTTGATTAATGTAATTCGAAATACTCACCAGTGAGGCTCATAGTTAGTTTATAAAATGTTTTTCAATAATAGACGTGATCAAATAATACACAATCAGTCCATGCCCGTTCAACAGAAAACTGAAAATGAAAATCACGTTACAAATACATTGTGTCATTCTTTGATTGTGTCATTACTCTTACCTGTTTGTTACAATACTTACAAACCTTATGGATAGCAACTTCTATTATTTAGTCGTGAGTCGTTGTTTCTATGCAGGTTCTTGCACAGTTGTCAAGTAGGTATTTAGAGTAATCACACAATCAATGATAGTAAGCGACTTAATAACTACTCACTAAATAATCATATTATCCAAGATATATGTTGCTGAATGAATAATTACGTTTACAAAATGTTCTTCTAAACATTCTTTGATTTCTGAGAATGACTTCTCTGTTTATTTCTATTTGAGGAGGAACTTCGATGATCTAACAAGAACATCAACAGCACAGTAGTGCGCGATTGTGAGTGAACATCACTGATGAAGACACAGAGGATTAGACCACCTGCAGCCAGTCACAATGTATGTCCTTCCTGTACATATACTCACACCTTCATTTATACAGTCTATGATCACTAACAGGGACTGAAATGAATTATTTATTTATTTCATCGAGTTTTGCTGAATCACTCTATGTCCATGTCCTGTAATGCTGAAATAGACTGTAGACAGGTTTCATAAACAGTGAATGATTCTTTATCATTAGCTATAAGTATAGCTTATCTAAGTAAATGTCTCTATGAACTTGCAAATATTATATGGTATCCTGATTAGAAAATCATTGCCGATTTATCTAAAATAGATAATTTAAACGAATATGCTACCATTTCTTGCAATGTGTATAGTTTCAAGAAATTGTTCAATTAAAACAGTCAGCTTTATACCTCTTTCTAAAGGTTAAACAGCATATGTGCACCATGCTGCCAATGCAGTCGCTCTATACATGAATGGATCACATATACTTACAATAAATGTGTTCTTTTAGTGTTGCAGACATAAGTTTGACAAACATCCTTGAAAAGACTGGCAGCCAAAACTAAAGAAGGAAGATGAAACATAGTGAATGTGTCCCGGTATGCTATGCTGCAGGGAGCCACAAGGGCGTTTAGACGACACTCATTTGATCCCAGAAACCGTCTGTCAGTCAAGTTTGTCGGCGAAAGTGTGGTATCGATGAGGAGGGCCATCGAGGGAATTCCTCCGGGCTGCTTATGATAGACATAGCTAACCTACCGATTTTTTGCGGACCGGAGAATTCAAAAATGCTCGACCTTAACTACTCCAGGCAAATGCAGATGCATTTGATCATCATCAGTTCTTCTTCTTTGTTTATGCTTATAGCAATCATGTGCAATGGGTCCATCTATAACACCACCTACGTCTATGTTTTGTAAGTGAGTGAGTGAGTTCAGATTTAAAGTCACATCGGCAATATTTCAGCCATATCGCGGATTCACTAAAACTAGTTCTAAATTTATAATACATACATATAATATATAAAACCCTGTCAACGAAGGACAGTAAAACCACTAGATTATCACAGATTGAGTTAAAACTAGCAAGCATATATCTTTCAAAATACAAAATTATTTTTGTACAATACAATGTAAAAATGGGCACCAACGAATCGGTATATCACCATACTAGGGACCATGGGCACTTACAGTGCCTTTGCTACCTGCATGGACCCTAGCTGGATTTACACTATCCCCTATGTTTTGTAAGTCTTTTGAAAAGACTTCACAGAATGACGTCACAGAAGATAACCGTATTTTGTCGGAAGGAAGAAAGGAAATGTTAATGTGTAATATTATCTTAACCGCGATGTGCCTCTGCTATGATAAGCATATGTACATTACTAGTGTGGTTCAGTTCTCTTCCAAGAGAGTCTGTAAATCACGCCTTCAGTTGGCCATTCTTGGTAAATACACGTTTCAAATGTTTCTTCATAATCTGAATATACTGAAATACTGCTAGGAAACAAAATGAGCTAAAAGATGATTCTAAATGTTATTTTATACAACGTTATATTTCAGTAATCAGCTTTGACCCTGCGTAGATTCGGTACGTGAGGTGTAATTTGCTAAACCCATAGTGAAGGGATAATGCTTAAAATATCATCTGTTTGTGCATTGCGATTGTGTGTCGTGTTTTCTTGCTTTCTTTGGTTTGCATGCTGCAGACACGCACATTCAGGTACATTTAACAGTCGAATTCCTTTATAAAAATTATAATAATCTCTCCTCACTTCCTAACATTCTCTCACACAAAATGGAAACTAATACATACTAATACATAAACAGGTATTTTGTATGACAATGTGCACATTCACACTGCTTAAATTCAAGATGCCGAAATGTTAATTCTTGAACTTTAAAGGAATTATGTGATAAGAATGTTATAGTTGGTATAACTAATCATGGAGTAGTGGCTTTTTGTTGTCAAAAATTTAAACACGTAAACACGTATACCGGAGTTATAGCAAGATGATTTTGGTACCGTTTGAAAGCTTGGAATCTCATACTCCCTGGCATCACACAGCCATGCTGCCTGTTAGGCGCACGAACTAAACACTCACACTGGCAGCACACCCTCACGGGTACGCATTTTACAGCTGAGAGTGAACTGAGACAATCATGCCTTTATGTAACTAAATTATAAGAATGATATTGTTTCAAGATTGTTTCCCTGGGAATACAAGTGCATAAATACAAGTGCATTAACACCTTCAAGGCCAAGGTCACATTCATTAATTGTGTAGCAAATTTGGGCTAAAATTCAAAGTTTCATCATATATATTGTTGGTATGTCAACACAAATAACACCAACCTACATTCTGAGCTCAGAGTCACTGTATATGAAATTAAATGTTGCCAATATAAACAGTGTCACGGAATATTAAATTTAGGGGGCGCCACCGTGGCCAATGTCACTGTAAATATTCTATATTTGAATACATCAAAGATAACATTAACTTTGCTTTATGCATGTGTTTCAGTGATTGCTTGTAACATACAACTGAACTGTTTACAAACAGGTCAAGGAAAATTGTTTAACTTTCAAGGTTAAGTTCAAGGTCAGATGAACATGCTTGATATTTTCAAAACACGCCAAATTCATCAAATTTGCAGTAAATTTAAACACAAATTGCATATTTTCATACTTATTTTGCTTTGCAAACAGAAATATTAGACACACATTATCAATTTAGATACCAGATTCCGATGTTGCAAAGATATGCAAATATGAAAAATGTTGTATAGTACTACTTGAAGGGGTTGGGGAGGGAAGGGACCATTTCCATGGTAATTTATGGATAACTTTCAATGACTTTCCAAGTATTGTAATAAATCAAAGAAAACTTAAAAGTTTCTGTTTCTATACAGGTTTTAGTGATATATAGATAGATAGATAGACACACACACACACACAAACACACATAAATGATTGCATACACGTACAAAGGTAACTGACTGACTGACTGAGTTTAGTTTTACGCCGCTTTTAGCAATATTCCAGCAATATCACGGCGGGGGACACCAGAAATGGGCTTAACACATTGTGCCCATGTGGGGAATCGAACCCGGGCCTTCGGCGTGACGAGCCAACGCTTTAACCACTAGGCTACCCCACCGCCCCGTACAAAGGTAAGGGTAGCATCACCAACCTTCGATTACATGTTTTATAGAGCATACCATTGCATTGGTTTTTTAACATGTATATGTCAGTATATGTTCTTATTGCAATTTATCCCAAAACTGCCAGTGTCCAGATGAAGTAATTAGGGAGGTGTTAAAATCCACTGCCAGAAATGGGACATACGGAAATTGCACTGACCGAATTGGTACAACTACCATCACTAATTAGGACTAATGGTCTGTGTAGAAATGGAATTGGGTTAATTAATCCCAATTAATCCATTGCTACCTACCTGATCAATTGCTATGTGGGCAGGTTAATTTTTTGCCCATTTATTATGAACGCAGTGTGTTTGTATTTGGATAGCATATAGTGTACATGGTTATGAACACACTTTGTTCTGTATTTTAAGTACATTACACTGGGCGTCAGGAAATGTTTTGTTTTGTATGTTAATCGAATTTCTTAGTCTTGTTTGTCAGAATTGTTAGTCAGTATTTTCGTCACACATAAGCATTATGATGGCAGAGAAATGAGAGAAGGTGGCGGGTTCGATCCCCGACCGCGTCACACCAAAAGACGTTAAAATATGGTACTTATTGGTCCCTGCCTGGCGCTCGGCATTAATGATTACAACAAGGACTAGTCGGCTCGGAGTCAGTATAATGTGTCTGAGTGGGGTATTCATGCTTTAGCCTAGTGGTTAAAGCGTTGTCTCGTCACGCCGAAGACCCGGGTTCGAATCCCCACATGGGTACAATGTGAAGCCCATTTCTGGTGTCCCCTGCCGTGATGTTGCTGGAATATTGCTAAAAGCGGCGTAAAACTAAACCCAGTCAGTCAGTCAGTATTCATGCTTCACTGCGGCATGGTATCTCAGTAGGCTAGCACTATAAAACCAGCTTCAGTCTAGGCTAGTACAAGCAGCCGCACATACACATACACACGCATGCACGTCGTCATATGAGCGAAATATTCTTAAGTGCGACGTTAAACCTAACCTCAACTCACCTCAAATCAACTCAACTCAAATCAACTCATATCCAGACATACCATCAATACAAAACGTCCATATGTCAAAATCTACTAAGGTTCTCCATCTGGAACTTCGAAGACATGTTTTGATATTTTCACAGGCTGACCATAAATATGTACACTGAACATTGCAGATCATATGACAACCACTGACACTTTCTTGATGTTGAACACTGCGAAACAGAATGTACGGAAACACACAATCTCTCATTTCATATCTCATAAGAACATGATGGGAACTGCGGGCTGCTTCATTCTGGCTCCATCCACATTATATCAGTAAATGGTTTGATTTAGTAATGGATTACTGTGGTGCTTGTGTGTCAAGAATGCATGCGTGCTTTTTCATAAGTCCAAGTGTATGATAGTACAAGAGGTGCACCGGGACACCCGTGCATGTTTCAGGAGATTTCTCATTGACTGCATGCATGATTAATCGATTATATTCTTCCACTTGTAATTTGGAAAAATGGGTGATTTGTTCAACATCTCGTGAACCAGTTAATTTTTCAATTTTGCCAAACATACTACTGATAACAAGTACTGTTCTGTAACTGCATTTGTGTTGCCGAATACACTTTCAGCTTTGCAAGATCGGACATACGAACTTGTTGGACAGATGATTGCATACTCTATTGTGCACGGTGGACCACTACCCAGTTTCCTCCATCCACTTCTGTGTGATGCCATGGTCCATGGCATAGACAGCGTTCAGCCAACAACAGACCACATTATGGACCACGAATACAGGGATCAAGTGGTGAAGGTAAGGGTGCACAACCGATCAGTGAATAGACAACCTAACTAAAAGCTAATCACACGTATTTTACTATTAGTTCAGTAAGTTTATTTCGTCTGGTATACACGGGAATACAAGTACATTAATAATCTGCTGTCTGTTATCTCGTTAAAAATATGCTCAGTGAACTAAGCGCTATTCCAAAACATTCCAAGAATATTGTAAAGTGTACATTTCAAGATTCATTCATTTCATTATTAGTTTAACAATGGAATTTAGTTACGTTGATTGAAATGATCAGTATTTGATATAAAGCACTATAGTGTAGTGAAATCTGTATGCTGTATGTAAAGTTAACAACTACGTGTGCGATTGGGCACAAACCTGTAACTTTGTGAAAGTAAATATTGATAATAATGAATTGCATGAACTCATAATGAATAGCTTCACAAGAGAGTGAACCATGGGTTCATGTCTTTCGAGGACGTTGTTTAAAAGACTCGTTCGTTTTGCACATATGCAAATATCCGCTATATATTACACTGGAATGACAACGCAAGTAATCTATTTCATCTATTATCAGTTATCTCAGGCCGAGGATTACACGGCCTTTGAAGACCTGATTCAGATGGCAGGTTGTATATCCATGGTCCATACGCTGAGCAGGCGGACAAGAAATGTGCAAGGCCATAACAAAATTCATTGTGTTCGGACGTGCACATCAAGGTTTTGACCAGTAAGTGTAAACATCAAGTGCGTATTTATTCGAGATTTACAATGTTTCTGTTTATTTCTTATGTAAACGCTCACGAACATCGAATACATACACTTGTGCAGAATAGACAGCACACACTGTAGCCATCCATGGACATACTCTTAAACAAAGGACAGTGACTGAATATTGTTTGACGCGGCGTTAAATAATATTCACCCACTGTCCTTATTACTCAAGTCAACAGTGCATTCACTTAACACATTTTATATCTCGTACCAAATGTAAGGCAATGAAATAGTGACATTGCACTGTAGTACAGATGAACACCTTGATAAGATACTGAACATTCAATTCTGTGTATCTTAGATTCTGCAGAGGACTTGAAACGCTTGGCGTATTAGGAGCGCTAAAACATCATGGAACACGCATGAAAGAAGTTTTTGAATATGAAAAAAGGCTTCTGGATTCTACAACAATAGAACTATTGTTCGAAGCAGATTTAGCAGAGGCCAACTCCAACCGACGCCGTCAAGAAGAGATTGTTCTCTCAAACTGGAGAGATTTTTCTTCTTGATTTGGAAGGTACGATCAATGTGATAATTGTTTTTATAAATGAATACACCGTGCATTAGTATTTGTTACGAAGGTAGATCATATAGCTTTGGATAACTGATATCATAGTTTGAATCAGTGATTATTTCTCAGTAAATCACAAACTCAATCCAAAGGTATCACACAACTGATAGGGATAGTCTATTTCATGTATTTAATGCACAATGTATTTAATATATCTCATCAGGATCAATCATTTCGTATCCTTTCTATTCTTAAATGCTTCAAGCATACGGAATATTGCAAACGTTTCAATAACGGTTTTCACAGGGTGTTAAAAAATTAATATATAACCAATGTATTCCTGAGTATACGGTCAACTACGGTTAGAACGAATGCAAACGTCAAGTACAGGTAGTTCGTCATAACCTTAGTTTGTTATATACATTTCGACTATAATATAACGTATGTTGGTTTATACGTCGTGTTAGTAACAAGCGTAGTGCACTGTATGTCCATTTCAGAAGGTACGGAAGTCCCCACACTCAAAGACCTCTTGGTGTTTGTGACCGGGCTGACGGAATCCCGCCTCTGGATTGACTCTCTCCACGCCTGCTGTTTCACTCGGCAGAAATTGAATCACCTGAAGACAAGAAGAATTTCCTTTTGCAAACACATGTGCAAAACAGTTTGTCATTCCCTATGTTACTTGACTATGAGCTTTTCAAGAAGAACATGGTTGCTGCCATACAAATCAAACTTTTTACAACTGAGTAGAACTGTGACATAAATAACAATGTACAACGAACGACTGCCTAATGTTTCTGTTATTAATATGTTCATGTTTTGTCTTCATACCATGCATGTTGACTATGAGTCAGTTTGATTGCATCCTTTGTTTTAGCTTGGATTAGACGTGAAGTTATTACGTCTTGTTAATAGGCAGAGTTAGACGAATGTTTGGCTGCACTATGTATTCCACTGGTGACTCGAAAGGCCATCAAGTACTGTAGGGGTGAAGCGGAGCAGAATCAGACCACGTCTCTGTGGTTTGTTGTACGGCTTCAGCTTCAGTGTTTGCACATCAACAACGTACAGTGAAATACAGGCGGGTGTTGATGGTCCTCCAGGCTCAACATCTACATTCTTAACAGTTAGGGCTCTCAAGGAACACATTCCTTTTTTTACTCTTTGTTTTTCATTGACTGCATGCATGATTAATCGATTATATTCTTCCACTTGTAATTTGGAAAAATGGGTGATTTGTTCAACATCTCGTGAACCAGTTAATTTTTCAATTTTGCCAAACATACTACTGATAACAAGTACTGTTCTGTAACTGCATTTGTGTTGCGAATACACTTTCAGCTTTGCAAGATCGGACATACGAACTTGTTGGACAGATGATTGCATACTCTATTGTGCACGGTGGACCACTACCCAGTTTCCTCCATCCACTTTCTGTGTGATGCCATGGTCCATGGCATAGACAGCGCTCAGCCAACAACAGACCACATTATGGACCACGAATACAGGGATCAAGTGGTGAAGGTAAGGGTGCACAACCGATCAGTGAATAGACACCTAACTAAAAGCTAATCACACGTATTTTACTATTAGTTCAGTAAGTTTATTTCGTCTGGTATACACGGGAATACAAGTACATTAATAATCTGCTGTCTGTTATCTCGTAAAAATATGCTCAGTGAACTAAGCCGCTATTCCAAAACATTCCAAGAATATTGTAAAGTGTACATTTCAAGATTCATTCATTTCATTATTAGTTTAACAATGGAATTTAGTTACGCTGATTGAAATGATCAGTATTTGATATAAAGCACTATCGTGTAGTGAAATCTGTATGCTGTATGTAAAGTTAACAACTACGTAATGCGATTGGGCACAAACCTGTAACTTTTGTGAAAGTAAATATTGATAATTAAATGAATTGCATGAACTCATAATGAATAGCTTCACAAGAGAGTGAACCATGGGTTCATGTCTTTGGAGGACGTTGTTTAAAAGACTCGCTTCGTTTGCACATATGCAAATATCCGCTATATATTACACTGGAATGACAACGCAAAGTTATCTATTTCATCTATTATCAGTTATCTCAGGCCGAGGATTACACGGCCTTTGAAGACCTGATTCAGATGGCAGGTTGTATATCCATGGTCCATACGCTGAGCAGGCGACAAAAGAAATGTGCAAGGCCATAACAAAATTCATTGTGTTCGACGTGCACATCAAGGTTTTGACCAGTAAGTGTAAACATCAAGTGCGTATTTATTCGAGATTTACAATGTTTCTGTTTATTTCTTATGTAAACGCTCACGAACATCGAATACATACATTTGTGCAGAATAGACAGCACACACTGTAGCCATCCATGGACATACCTTAAACAAAAGGACAGTGACTGAATATTGTTTGACGCGGCGTTAAATAATATTCACCCACCGTCCCTTATTACTAAAGTCAACAGTGCATTCACTTAACACATTTTGTATCTCGTACCAAATGTAAGACAATGAAATAGTGACATTGCACTGTAGTACAGATGAACACCTTGATAAGATACTGAACATTCAATTCTGTGTATCTTAGATTCTGCAGAAGACTTGAAACGCTTGGCGTATTAGGAGCGCTAAAACATCATGGAACACGCATGAAAGAAGTTTTTGTATATGAAAAAAGGCTTCTGGATTCTACAACAATAGAACTATTGTTCGAGCCAGATTTAGCAGAGGCCAACTCCAACCGACGCCGCCAAGAAGAGATTGTTCTCTCAAACTGGAGAGATTTTCTTCTTGATTTGGAAGGTACGATCAATGTGATAGTTGTTTTTTATAAATGAATACACCGTGCATTAGTATTTGTTACGAAGGTAGATCATATAGCTTTGGATAACTGATATCATAGTTTAAATCAGTGATTATTTCTCCAAAGGTATCCCACAACTGATAAGGATAGTCTATTTCATGTATTTAATGCAGAATGTATTTAATATATCTCATCAGGATCAATCAGTTCGTTTCCTTTCTATTCCTAAATGCTTCAAGCATACGGAATATTGCAAACGTTTCAATAACGGTTTTCACAGGGTCTTAAAAAATTAATATATAACCAATGTATTCCTGAGTATACGGTAAACTACGGTTAGAACGAATGCAAACGTCAAGTACATGTAGTTCGTCATAACCTTAGTTTGTTATATACATTTCGACTATAATATAACGTATGTTGGTTTATACGTCGTGTTAGTAACAAGCGTAGTGCACTGTATGTCCATTTCAGAAGGTACGGAAGTCCCCACACTCAAAGACCTCTTGGTGTTTGTGACCGGGGCTGACGGAATCCCGCCTCTGGGATTCGACCCCTCTCCACACCTGCTGTTTCACTCGGCAGAAATTGAATCACCTAAAGACAAGAAGAATTTCCTTTTTGCAAACATATGTGCAAACACTCAAAGACCTCTTGGTGTTTGTGACCGGGGCTGACGGAATCCCGCCTCTGGGATTCGACCCCTCTCCACGCCTGTTGTTTCACTCGACAGAAATTGAATCACCTGAAGACAAGAAGAATTTCCTTTTTGCAAACACATGTGCAAACAGTTTGTCTCTCCCTATGTTAGATGACTATGAGCTTTTCAAGAAGAACATGGTCGCTGCCATACAAATCAAACTTTTTACAACTGAGTAGAACTGTGACATAAATAACAATGTACAACGAACGACTGCCTAATGTTTCTGTTATTAATATGTTCATGTTTTGTCTTCATACCATGCATGTTGACTATGAGTCAGTTTGATTGCATCCTTTGTTTTAGCTTGGATTAGACGTGAAGTTATTACGTCTTGTTATTTGGCAGAGTTAGACGAATGTTTGGCTGCACTATGTATTCCACTGGTGACTCAAAAGGCCATCAAGTACTGTAGGGGTGAAGCGGAGCAGAATCAGACCACGTCTCTGTGGTTTGTTGTACGGCTTCAGCTTCAGTTTTTGCACATCAACAACGTACAGTGAGATACAGGCGGGTGTTGATGGTCCTCCAGGCTCAACATCTACATTCTTAACAGTTAGGGCTCTCAAGGAACACTACTTTTTTTACTCTTTGTTTATCATAATGATCATACACCACAGTGCTGCTTCTTATGCTTGTTGTGGTCCTCGTCGTAGTGGTGAGTCCAAGCTAAAACATGAAAGATTTCCTACTAATTTCACTGTATTTACCACCCAGAAATATTCCCTAAGTTACAGAATGGATCTTACCAAGCACAATAAAGTATACTCGGATTTGGATAAAATACATTTCCTTTGGCTATAGTTGGGACAAACAGACATTACCCATGCTCATGTAATGGCACGTGTTTAAGTTTGAAAAAAAATATTAATAACTTAATGACAGGTTCTTACATTGTTTCTGCAAGAATAAAAACATTCCAAACACCAACACAAATTCATATTCGTCCAAAAACAAACAAACATGGGGATACCGTTCACAAATAACAGTCAAAAGAAACACAGGTAACACCGTTTTAGGCAAAGCCTTTTTCCTTACCTTGATATAACTGCACATTTTCAGACTTACATTTAAGTATATTTTATAACTGTAACATATACAGATGTTGCTTACTGCATGAAATTATGCTTACAAAATTTGTAAACACACAAAAATGTGTACTTCACTTCATCCATCCCAGCTCTCACCCTTAGAGTTACCTCCTTTCTGCTGGGCATAAAAATGTGGATGGCAGTTAAGTCTTTCGGTTACACGTATTATTTCAAACTTTGACAACCGAGTTACATTTGCATTTCTTTTGCTGTTCATTTATAAGCTACTGTATCATGTGACATGAAAGATAAATCCAAATGACTAGAAATCATGATTTGACAACTTTTATATTATTAAGTTGATAATACGGGAAAAAAACATATGATAATCACATTAGTAACTTCAAAAATAAAATATCCGTTATTTCACGATACAACTATTTCATGCATATAATTAGCATGCTATAAAGGATCACACGTGTGTTGGATATTCTCTAAAGGTCAACCCATACAAAACCACTCCTGGACAAGAACAGCTTTATTCAGAAACTGCGAACGTTTTAACATTCATTCGAGCATGGTGACGAGCCATGCAAATAGGTCCATGGCATCCCGTGGTTCACTGGACTTTGTCTTGCCGTTGTGTTGAAGAAGCGTGTGAAGACTCAAGATGAAAGCAAGGAATTCCACAGCTATCTTAAGCGTGCCAAGGTTGTTGGACAGAATCTGAAATTTGAGGTAGATTTTGTTGATGGCGATGTACTGCTGTACGGTACAGCAATGGGAGTAGACCAGGTGAAGTCCTTCACCAAGTCTGCCCAGAGTTGGTCTTTTGTGGAGAAGCTTCCTGAGAAGCCATTGCAACGTGTGTACATGCAGTGTGTTGAACAGAATAGCAATCCCACCGACCCCTTTGCCTGGATGAAGTCGGCTGGTCTTAAATATGAAACTGAGGGCTTCCTTTTTGCTGCTCAGGACCAGTCACTTCCCTCTGGCAGTCGCCTGAATGTGATTCTTAAACAAAATATCAATATGAAATGTCGACTTTGCACGGAGACTGTCCAACACCTTGTCAGTGGATGCCCTTCCTTGGCACAAACAGCATATCTTTAAAGACATGATGGCATGGCTCGTTGCTTTTACTCCCGTCTCCGACATGCCTGTAGCTTTGACTCCGAGGTCCATCCATGGTACGACCCTGAACATGTCCAGGGCGTCACGGGAAATGATGCTTTCAAACTTCTGTGGAATAGGCCCATATACAGCCTCAGAAGAATTCCAGCCAACAAACCTGATCTTGTCGTTTTTGATAAAGCCAATGAATTTATTTATGTCATTGAATTTTCTGTCCCTTTTGACACCAATGTGACTGGCAAAATTAAGGAAAAGCATGATAAATATGTGGACCTCGCCTTTGAAATGTCTCGCTTGCATCCCAAGTACACTGTCGTCAGGCTCCCCATTGTTCTCTGTGCCCTTGGTTTGGTACCTCCTGATCTCTTGGCGCAGATCAGGAGAGTACAGCCCTTCTGACACTCTGGGTAATGCAGAAGGCTGCAGTGTTGGGGAACCTTCATATTCTCCGGAAAGTTCTTGGTGGGTTCGACTAGACACCGTTTCCTGGGAGAAGTCCCATTCGCTGTCTGGGCTGCGTGTAGAGGAGGCAAGGGCCCTGAGCTGATGATGAGCCTTACCAGCCTGACTGTGCCAGAATCACCCGAACCCTCTCTGCTGCATACTATCTTTAATCTGTAAAACATAATTAATAGGAAATATAGCCAATGGGAAGAAATATTGTGGCTATGAAACTTTTGTGAACGAAAATATCGTAAACAAGCTATAAAGACGAAATGCAGTTTTAATCTATGTACACAATGCACATTGTAATATCTTTAATGGTTGACAGCTTACAAATGTTCTTGTACCATGTTGTGGAATCCATGGATAAATGTATGTGCTCACCAGTGATGTAAAGCATGTTGTTTTGTTTCTGACATTTGGTTGGTTCTTTTTTGCTCAATGCTACTTCTCCAATATAGACATTTAGTTAACGATTATCGATGTATGTAGACAGACAGCCCTAATTAGAACAAAGACATGTGTTGAAGACAAACATCATATGGAACAAGTGAAACATGACACAAAACCAAATCCGATCGTTTGCACGTGCCGCAAATAGTAGCGCCAAACACTGACCTAAGGTTCTATTCTCTATTTTGACACTTTCAAGGAAGATCGACTTATGACTGTGGTCCAATTATTTAATCATAGAACTATGCTATATTTTATTTCATTCATTGTTTCTTCATAAACTATCTATTTAACTATCGTGTGCACTCGTATACGGGCTGTGTAATGTTTCAAACTGTCAGCGTACAGTACACTGTGTGTCAGTATGTCATCAGCAGACTCTAACACGTACCAAGAAATTCAGAATATGGCCCTTCGATTCCGTTCATGGCGTCAAAAGTCACTAGAAATAGAGCTCAAAAGGCGAATGCTATGGATTCAAAATTGTAATCATTTAATGAAATACGAGGTCCTTGTCAAATGATCAGAAATGATGTACAAGCATGATGTTTTGCGCAATGCCCACCTCCAGCAGCCTAAGAATGTCACGAGGGCGACACGCCCAGATATTTCCCCTTCTGAACACATTTGGAACATGATCGGGAGAGTGCGTTAACGCACATAGACCGTTCTTACAGTTTGGGGACATTTTAAAATATTTCCTAGAAGCTTCTACTTACTTTAGAGCGAATGTTTGGTTTATATAGTTTGGCATACCTGTGACCGGTGCGTGCAACAAATCATGAACGTACGGATTATATTGCTATTATCATCCCTACTAGATGTACAAACGTATATACGTTGATTAATTAACAATTTACTGACTTGAGATAACTAAAAAGTATCAGAGGCAAGTGGACTGCTATCCTAGCTACATACTCTATGAAGTTCTTTTATGCTCAGACAAAATACTCTCTAGTTTAAACTGACCTGATTTCGGTGCGAACTCCCATACATATGTGGCGGTGTGTGGTCCTTTGCGTAGAGCTCAGGTCACAATCAGTTGAAGTTAAGCAACGTTGGTCGCGGACAGTCCTCGGATGGGTGACCGTGTTTGGCAGCTTGACTCCTGAAAGTTTCTAGGACTTCAGTCCTGCCCCACAACGAAGCGCATGTGACGCATGTGGTCTCACCTTAGGCAAGTGAGTTTGTTCAAAATTGCCTCTGTCCACCCAGCAGTAAAATTGGGTACCTGGTATGATGCGATGGTAGTCTGAATTTGAACCTTGAGCGCCTGACAGGCGACCGGTGGTATTCTCCACATGGAGTGTTCTGTACTCGTTGACCAGGGGTAATATGTCAGCGCTTTGAGCATGCAATGTGCATGGATAAACGCGCAATATAAATGGACTATTATTATTATTATATAAAACTGTTTTCTGCAGCCATGTCATCAGTGTGCTGCCACCTCATAGCTTTTTGGAGATCCTCAATAAAGACATTTTCACTGCCTCGGTCAGCTCTTATGCATCGTGGAAACAATTCGTAAACAAAAATAAACAATCAATAGATAATATCAAGTATTTGCAAAGTACGCAGAAAGAAAACACGTATAAAGAAATAAAGGAATATTCACATACCTCCAATACTTTCAACATATTCCATGAAGAAACGGGCGACAGTGTATGGGTGGTTGTTGCTCCTCCCCACTTTTAGCCATAGTATTCTTCTCGAATAGCTGAAAATAACACCTTCTTGAAACACTGCATCCTTAAGTTTGTGTTACTTTAGAATTAAATATATTTTTTATTGACTCTTGTCGGTGCATACGTGAGTGAGTATGGGTTTGCGCCGCTTTTAGCAATATTACAGTATGTCACGGCGGAGGACACCAGAAATGGGCTTCACACATTGTACCCATGTGGGAAATAGAACACGGGTCGTCAGCATGACGAAAGCACACCTTAACCATTGGGCTATCTAACCGCACCGTTAGTGCATAAGCATTAACAGAATAGAGCATTGGAAATCACGTTATAGATTCTGGTGACATTTCTTTTTTACTTTGAACATGTAAGTAATTAAGACAGGAATTCTGAACAGAGACTTAAACCACACCATGGACCAAACACTTATTAATGGCAACCATCCACCATTTAATCAAATTTGTAAACATTTCTAGAAATGATTCCACAAAACAAATACAACTGAAATCATGTGGAATAAAATATCTATACTGGAGTGGCCCGTAACTATAAACGCACATCACATAGTACTTTTGAAAATTAACGTGCGTGAACACATACATAATAGAGACTGTAGGAAGACAACTGTTTCCCTGAATATTTAGGATGTTCGCCATCATTGTTTGTGATTATATTATTGTAGAAAATTGAATGGAATATAAATTTATTCTTCCAATGACTTTAATTCACCCTTTGTAAACTTTTCTCTTATTTCTAATGAAAATAGAACAGGGTTCAAACAAACAATACTGCATCATTCAGAACAATGTTTGGTTTAAAACTCACCCACATATTGCACCATGGATAGCAAACCCAAATGGTTTCAGTTTGTCGTAGCCATCGATGTGTATGAGATAATTTGGCCCTTTGTTGTGATGTAAACGCCTTGTAAAGCGGCGAGATCTTCGAACTGCAACCCTGTCGGAGTCCATGACCCTTAAAAGCTTCATAACGTAGTCCCTAGATGATACAAGAACATAATATGATTACAACTTGCTGGGTAAAATAAAATGAATAAGTAAACATTACGTTGCACAAAATGCTGGTAATGTCATAATACCCGTTACAACAACGGAGAAGATAATCACGAGAATTAAGTACGCATTTACGTTTTAATAGTCAGTAAAACGGATTCTCTCCCTCCTCCCCTTCCCCTTATCCTTTCCTCCCTACCTACCTAGGAACCCTCAAACCGTGCACATTACGCAAACGTTCCGTCATGCTCCTGTAGCCAAGACAACAACCACTTCCTTGTAACTCACTCTGAAACATCATAAAATAACGTTTCAACATGATGCTATTTCATCGATTAATATAATTGTAGTGATTTTTCGAAATAGGCAAACATATATGATTAGGTTATGTTGTAGATAAGTTACCTGAACGGCATGTATTACTCTCTGATGATCAATAACTTCCTTGTGTCGACGAAGTCCAAGTGTTCTCAGTCTTCGTTTCAGTGTTCGTACACTAAACAGACATGATATCTCTTACAGAGTATTTTGAAATATAATACGAAAAATAGCAGGACACATTTTGGAACATTTCTTCGTTGTTCTCATGAACTGCCTTTGTGGGATATGTTTAGATTAGTGATGAACACCTGTTCGCTTCGCAACAAAAGTTATCTAGATACTTTCAATTGCTTTGCTGTACCGATAAACGTTTACATTGAGTGCCATGAGCAAACATTTTGTCCAAGTAGCTCTCTTACTATTAACTGCTAGCCGATTGAAATTAAAACAAAGATCAATAGATGAACTACACATACCTTATATGAATATTGTCATTGTGACAAAGAAGAGAGCATATTTCATGGTTAGTGTAGCCAGCTTGAAAATATTCCGTGATGACTTCTTTCCCTGAAAAGTAGACAATAAGGGTTCCAAATACAACTATCAAATATTTATGGAAAATACAATACAATTTGTAGCTTCTATTCAACAACATGGAAAAAATATATTATTGTTTATTAATAATAATAACCACAAGACTTACAGTTATATCCTTCTATGAGTTGGTTCATTATTGCAAATGGCGACTATGCTTCCGATTTTTAGTCAAGCATGCGCATACAGGACTGATCATGAATTGTGGGTAATATCGCTTTCTGGCTCTATCGCCTTGGCATATTGCTTTCTAGCTTTCTCGCGCAATGATATCACTTTCTCGTCTCGTGCTATCGCTTTTCGTCTCGTGCTATCGCTTTCTCGTCTCGTGCTGTCACTTTCTCGTCTCGCGTTATCGCTTTCTCGTCTCGTGCTATCGCTTTCTCGCTTTCTAAGCCTCCGAATTTTAAGGCGAGAAAAGTGGCGATAATAATCTGCCACAATATCTAGTAGGCTTTTAGACCCTAATTTACCTTGAGTAATTCTTTAATGTGCCACCTGGGAACATATAGATAAATAAATTCTTATTGTTTGTTGTATAACGACTCTCTTTCTACAATATTCCGGCAATGGGACGTTGGTCTGCATATACATGTTATCGATTTTGGACCAGATTATCCAGTGACAATATGAGAGGCACTCAAGTACATTTCAAAGCATGATCATTAATGGATGTTTCGCCGTGGAATCCACAGGGGTCGTTAATATATGTGTTAAGTTGGATGTAAGAAAGTTGTAATATGTGAAGATATACACAAAACGCCAAAAGAACGCTCTTCAGTGGACAATCGCGGCATATTTCTCGCACTTATATATCATATCATGCATTCTAGTCTCTCTTTATACCCTGGACGTACCCTTAGAACCAATCCAGTCGTGGGGCGTAGCTGGACAGTTTTGCGTTCTCATACAGAATCATAATATATACTTTTTCTCATACAGAATCAGTGTTCGAAATTAACGTCGGTCCTTGGGCCTGAAGCCGACTGAAAACCACATGGACCCACAGCTTTTGTTTTCTGCAGGTCCTTATGGGCGACAGTTTTTTCATCCCCAATAACTAAGAGTATTATTTTTCAGAGATGCATGGAAAAATCTCTGCACAAGAAACAAAACAATGATTTGGAATCGGTTCAAATCGACTACGAAAAATATGGAATACAGAAGAAGATATGCAAATAGCTACAAAGCCCATTTCCTCCTCCCCTGCTGCGGAGATAGCTACAAATACGAACTCCGGCACATCCGTATTGCCAGGAAGAGAACCGTTGACCCTCTTGTCTGCCGGAGAGATAGCTCCATATGTGACGTAAACCTCCGGCACAGCCGTATTGCCTGCTGCTGAACCGTCGACTGCGCCCACCGTCCAGGACTTCTTGGGGAGGCTCGATGCTCATGTGTAGCAAAACACAATGATATTGTTTGCTCGTGTGGAGCAAACTGTGACAATGTTGTTGGCTTGTACGGAGCAAGCCACAAATGGACAAGGACGAAGACGACGAACTAAGAGAGGAAATAGAAAGCGTCGAGGGGGAACAAGAAGAGATGTGTCTGGATATCCAGAAGGTGTGGCAGATGGTAGAATCGGTCCAAAAGTGGATCTACATTTCCCTAGCTGCCGTGTTTCCATGGAAGGTCGTCCACAAGACCTGGAAGCACAGCACACCGGCCCACATACCTGTCGAGGTGAGGTGAAATTGGGTTTTACGTCGTGCTTGAGAATATTTTGCTCATATGACGACGTGCATGCGTGTGTATGTGTATGTGCGGCTGTTTGTACTAGCCCAGACTTAAGCTGGTTTTATAGTGCTAGCCCACTGAGATACCATGCCACAGTGAAGCATGAATACCCCACTCAGACACATTATACTGACTCCGAGCCGACCAGTCCTTGTTGTACACATTAATGCCGAGCGCCAGGCAGGGACCAACAAGTACCATATTTTAACGTCTTTTTGGTATGACGCGGTCGGGGATCGAACCCGCGACCTTATGCTCTCGACGAGAAGACAGAAACGCCCAAACAAGTTTCCACGGTCCACCCCAGGGACCCCTTCCACATGGAGAAGAGAAGTCGATAGTCAAATGCAGCCTATTTGGAAAAAAAGTATTCTAGTAGGGTATACGAACCATGCGTTTGTTTTTTTTATCGTGGCTTGGGCCTTACTTTCCGTACCACGAATTCCACGAAAAGTTGTTGGAATACGAAAATGGGTCTATACAAGTCTGTGACTCCATTCCTCCTTTGCAACCCCAATCCCGCCATGTGCATCTGCAAAAATACTAGGCAAGCTGTCGGAGGGTCTGTCTAGAAAACTATACAATTGGGGCAAGACTAGAATATTTGCTGTCGACGATAGTGACAGTCTGTGGACTTGTACTGCTAGAGGTGGTGTTGTGTTGTAGTTTCTATGCGTACGATTCTAGCTTTCTGTTTGTTTGGCGTTGTGCGAATGGGTCCTAGACTACATAGAGCTCGGCTTTGCTTCGTCGACAGATCTATATCCGCTACGGCACTGTCCATCAATTGCCCGTGTACGGGAATGTCCACATCATCTTTGGGCGCTCCATTTTCGTCCAGCACTTGTAGATAGAGGATAGTTCGCTCGGTCCCACAATACATCTGTTTTGCAAACCTGTGGATGGCAAAGTTCCCTTCTGGAAAGTCTACACATTTCTGGATGGGTGGCCATTTTGGTGGCGACACCTGGGCGATGGATTTCGTAGTCTTTTGTAGTTCTAGATATCCTTTGTATTCCGACATGTTCTCTATTTCCTCTATCTTCTTGTGCTTGTCCAGATACTCCTTTCCCATAGGAGATGCCACTACCTGTATTTTCTTCCAACAAATCTCTTTGCTTGTTTTGTCGAAGAACGATCTTCCGGAGGATTCGATCTCGATTTGCAGGATGTGTTCGTACACTTCTTCTCGAAAGAAATCCTTTTCTACCAACCAATACGTTTGTTGCTTGAAACAGTCTGTGTTCATTCTCTCGAAGTAGGAGTCGTGTTGTCGTAGTACTCTTTCTAGCCCTGCCGTAGTCCAAACAGTGCTCGTTTCACCTGTTGTCAATTGGAGGACAATGCGTGTGGAACGGTTGGTGGTTCAGAAGCCGGCTATTGCCCCTACTTGTTTGTATCCGTATTGCGGAGAGCATTTTCCACAAGCAGTTGGGATTGTCTTCATTTATGGATATATGCGGTGGCTTCTGCAAAACTGTCTTGCAGAGCTTCGATCTCCTTTTTGCGTAATTCTGCTCGTTCTTCCCGGATTTGAATTTCCTTTTGTAGCGCCTTTTCGGCTCTTTGTTGCCAATTTTATGGCTTATCGGACAATTTCCTCCCTCGCCTTTGTGTAGACAGAGTAGAAATTTTGCGATTGGTGGCTGTGTTCGGCATTTCTTGAAAACGTTGGTCGGATCCTTCTCTGCCCAGCTTTTGGCATATTTTCTCCATTGCCATTTGATGTGTGGAGTTGCCAGGAGAAATATGCCTGGATCCATGCCGGATGGATGTAGAGCTGTTAGCTTCTTGCTGGCAGCTGGCAATGTCTTGGTGTCCTCACCTTTGGCATAACATTTGAGTGGGCCTAGTTCCACTGTATCTCCTTCTACCGATAGGATGTCCACACGGAATATTGGAACCCTTCGAAAACCAAAGTCTCTTATGGCCCAATAGATGTATTCCCCAGGATTCTGTGTTGGTTGGACGAATGTGTACTCCAGACACGTGACCCGTTTTCGAATATGCGTACCACGCGACGAAAATCGTTTGCTGTGGACGGTCAGCTAGGACCAAACAGCGGTCTATCTTTTTTGTGAGATGAAGCCACTGCGTTGCTGGTGATTGTACTACGAATAGACCGCTCCAACATGTCTTGCAAAACGTTTTCTGCTCTGTTGGTGGGCATGTCGTTTCTTATGCTAGTGATAAAAACCAGATGTCATTTTACATAGAAATAACGTAGTAAGTTGACAAAGTTTGGACATCCATCTCTGACCAGCGTTAGTTAACATGTCGCAACACACTGACTGTGACGGTGTAGCTGTGAAAGTGACTGAAGCGGACATAGAAGTTACCTGTTCATGTGGTGTATGATGAACATTGAAATGTCAAAACTGCCCTAAAACACGATACTGTTACGTTTAGTTGTTTACATTATGTGACAGATTCACATAGAAATCTACACACAAACACTTTTGTTGAGAAATTCACTTACTGAGATAGTATTTTACTCCCGAACATCGTCCACGTCTGGCAGATATCACAATGGGGGTAAATCAGAACTGCACTAAAAATTCTTTTATATTATGTTTTTCTGTAAACTTATCTACTTGTTTCTAAATGAAATGCATTTTGAATTGCCGTAGTTATATTTTTACGTAATAGTTAGGGCGCTAATATAGCTCAGTAGTGGGAGATATTCTACACTAATGAAACACTCAGACGGATATTCAGCGCACTGTTTGGAAATAATCCACAATCTGCCGATATTTTAGTAAAATTTAGTGAAATAAACTGGTTACGCATCGAATACAATGTATATTTCCAGGTCCTAGACTTCACCTAGACGCAGCTCGGGCCAACACAAGGATGTGCCACATCACTACAGACGGTCAGCTCGTCAACTCGCCGCCCGACACACGGAGGTACCTGGGGACCTGTAGCTCCCCCATCCCCTTCCTCCATTCTCGTCCACCTTAACACCCCTACCCACCATCCCCAGATACTGGGAGACAAAAACCAGGGTGAGGGTGGTGGGTGATAAGCTGGCATGGTTACTCCTGGAGATGGGACTGTGTGAGGCAGGGCAGGTGGACAGTGAGATGTATGTTTCTCTACAGCGCCGCTACTGGTGTATCAGTGTAGGGAGCTGTGGCAGACACGAGGAGAGGATCTGTACCACGGTGTGGAGTGAGAGGAAGCAGGGCGAGTGTCACCAGAACACCACGTTCAACACTCCCGACACACAGGCCACCCTCCACTATGGCGTTGTACTGGATGTGGGGAGAGGAAGAGTAGCATTCATTGACCTGGACAGACAGGTTGTTCTAGACAAGTATAATGTTCAGTTCAGTGAACCACTCGTCCCCATGTTTTGTGCTGGGTCGTGGTATTCTGGCCACACTGTGTCGATGAGTCTGATCAGCGGAGAGGACATCCACATGGTTGACACAAAGAAGGCTCTCATCTACCAAGCGCTGAAATAGGAAATTAACTGGCCATGAAACTGTGAAATCGGCCATGAGACTGTGTGAAATCAGCCATGAGGCTGTGTGAAGTTTTCAGTGTAACGGAGATACTTCTATTAACTGCTTCAAGGAAAGTGAGTGAAGCGGACATAGAAGGGTTCGGTTTGTGTTCTGTTTGTTGTGTACAAAATACAACCATGTTCTTCGGAGGTCTGCTTTCACTACTTTCCTGGGTTCTCCTGAGAGAGGGAAACATTCTAAATACTCACATGAATATCAGTATGATGAAATTATTGCTGTAGACGATGTAATTGTCCGACAGTAAATGATTCTAATGACGTGTGATGTAAGTCAAGGGACACAGAAGTAAACACACAAAATATAAAGATTGTTTCAAAACCAGATTTCCTCAGTAAAAGATTCTGAGGAAATGAACTGGATTCTAAAATGTAAATAATCATTCAAGTAGGATTTCCCCTTCATATACAATGCGGTGCCGGATATTACAGCTAACACCATATCCCGCCTAATTCCAGCACCCACCACCCCCAGATACTGGGAGACAGAAACCAGGGTGAGGGTGGTGGACTGTTACTGCCGGCCCTGGAGATGTAAGATGAGACTGTCTGAGGCAGGACAGGTGGGCATTGGGATGCATGTTTCTCTACATCGCCGCTCCTGGTGTGTCAGTGTAAGGAGATGTGACAGACACGGGGAGCGTCACCAGAACACCATGTCCGACTCTCCCGGCACACCGGCCACCCTCCACTATGGCGTTGTACAGCTGTTTTAGTCAAGTATACTGAGCGATTCAATGTCAATGGTTTAATGAACTACTCGTCCCCATGTTCGTTGTTAGACGTCCGTATTCTGGTCTCACTGTGTCGAAGTCTTATCCACGGAGAGGACATCAACATGACTGACACAAAGAAGGCTTTCATCTACCAAGCGCTCAAATAAGAAATCAACTGGCTATGTGCGTCACCAACTGGTGGTTGGTAGTTCTTCATTGCGACCGCCTGTTGTGTTCTCTTCACCCATTAATAGGAGGGCAGGGTCTGAGGTGAAATTGGGTTTACCGTCGTACTTGAGAATATTTCGCTCATATGACCACGGGTAGTAGTACAGTGGGGGCTCTGTCGCATATGCGGCTTAAAGGTGCCTGAACGTCTGAATTTGGCCCTAGGAGTTGGTTAAAAAAGGGTTGGATGTGTTGCGCAAGCATCGTCGATGCGTCCTTTATTTGAAGAGTATACTTGATATTATGTATGCATGTAGGTAGGGGACTGGTTTTGATTGGGACATGAATGCGTTGCTAAGTTAAACAAGATGGCCGTCCAACCTAGTAACGGCGAGCCTGCCAAGCACACCGTTACTAAGTTAAACAAGCTGGTTGCCTAACCTAACAACGGCGAGCTTGGCAGGCTCGACGTTACTAAGCTAACAACATGGCCACCAGCTTGACAACGGCGAGCTTGGCAAGCATGCTGTTACTAAGCCAAGCAAGATGGCTGCAGAGCGTGACAACGGCGAGCAGACCGATCACGGCATTGCTAGGCGGTCACCCAACCTAGCAACAGTCAAACTCGACAGCGCTAACACCGGAAGGTGAGTGTTGCCTATTTTTCCATGCTATGTCGGATATCTAGTGAACCAGGGAAACCATTGATGAGGGATAAATAATACTAAACAAACGAACTATATTGGTTAGCCTGCTACCAGACTCAACAATCAAATTCATACATTTGATAATTTTGATAAATATTGCATATCACTAAATCTATAGGTTATCAAAATCACAAAAAAGTATACATTGATAAGAAAAAGGGGAATAAACCGAAGCTTCTATATACAATAATTATTATTTTCGTTTCAGTTGACTTTATTTTCACTTAAGGGACCACTAGTTTGAACAACTGCTTGAAAATAAAAAGCATTTTGATATCTCTTTGAAATTATTGCAAAATCACCAACTCCAATGTGCTTTGTTATCAATATTTGATAATTATCTGATGTGATTTTACACGTGTGTATGTGTGTTATTTCTTTCTAAATTATGTGCTTAAATTTGAATACATCTTTAATACAAAGGAATGAAGAATTATTGCTTATTTGGGTACGAGTTCGTTTTGGGTACGAATTCGGCGTGGAGACGAGTTCGTATTAGGTACCAATATTCACCTACAGCTGTTTTCGCTCTGACTCTATTATTCCCACTAATTTTTTTGTATATATGAAACTTTATTCTTTTCCCATACATCTCATAATAACGAAAATGTTTTTTGCAATTCTTTTATATCGTAACATTTCAGTGTTATGTGATCAAATTGTTACAACATTAACTCCCTTATTCTATATTTAGATACAAAGGAAGCTACTCTGAAATTAAAGTTTACCTCAAGTTGGCGTCACATACGGCTTGAACATTTATAGCGTGGAAGCCTTTCCGACAAAGGTAGGCCACTTCTTCGTCTGCAGGTGGTCGTTTAATGGGAATAAGTGCACCATCAATAACGCGGGCGAATTCAGCTATTTTGTAGAAGTCTTGCTTTCTAACTTTATTTGTGTCAGGATTGAACTTGATGTCCAAAACGTTGTTTATGGCACGGATTGTCCGATGGACGGCGCGAGACACAGAGGATTCGTGAACGCCATGTAGATCACCTATTTCCATTAAATAGTTTCAGGGGAAATGGCATTTGAACGCTTGGTTCCATGTTCGATGTGTGGCCGAACTTTCTCCAAAAGTGAGAATATGGCATGCCGAGGCAACCTATACCTTGAAATGAGTTAACCTTCCATCAATAACTCCAAATGTTATGTTCTATCTCTAAAAATACATTTAATTTTTTCTGAGACTTCCTCGGCAGCCATGTACGACGCAATTTTTACCATCGATTGTAGGCACTTACAATAGGTAGTGGGCTATTGTAGGTTTCAACTGTAACTTACAACTATTGTAGGCTTACGATCGCTTTGTGCAAGAGGCGGGTGACCCTACAATTACCTTACAATCAGAGTTACGACTATTGTAGAGATACAATCGTTTTGTGGGCCCTGGGCCCCGTTTCTCAAAGCGATCGTAGCGCTATGACAGTCGTAAGTCTATGTTAAAGTATGGGAGTTACGATCATCTTAGCGCTACGATCGCTTTGAGGAACGGGGCCCTGGTTCACTAAAATCCGACGTAGTATGGAAAAATAGCCAACACTTACCCTCCCGGTCTCACTGTGGCCGACTCCAAACTCAAAATGGCGTGTCTGTCTGGACATGACGTCAGAGGATTTCTCCATGGCTGTGGCGTTTCACGTGGGTATTGAATACAAAGCAAGGAAGCGACAGGCACACAGCCGTATTAAGGCTGTTGGCTGGTTGTATTGATATAGACTGTTCTCGTCATGAATATTTGAGGTGCTGCTGAAAACATTTTTAGAATTATTTTAAAATCGGGTTACATAAGCTTGGAAAGCGTATGAGTTATATATATCTAATATACAACCACCTGTACAGCCTCGCCTGGCTGCTCTCGGGTCGGGTTGACCTTGAGCACGTTGCTATAGCAATGTCAAAATCTACAAAAAACAGTTTGCTTGATGTGCATTGCTGCAGTAGCTGTTGCCTAGCTGCTCTCACCTGACTGCCGAGGGTTGGAATGACCTAAAGCACCTAGCTATAGCATTGTTAAAATCTTAAAAACAGTTTAATGTGGGATTCTTGAACAGTTTGTGTTGCAAGGTTTATTTGGCTACGTTCACATCTACAAAACAGTTTAACTCGAAACTTTGATGAGATCCTTGTTTTTTGTCAGGAAGGTTTGAATGATTTGTTGTCGACCCTGTTCTATGAGCTTTTTATTCTCGTCTTCGCCGATGATATACATCATGGAGAAGGTTTACTATAGCCCTCGGGGTTACTGGAAAGGTGTGAGCGCCATCTCGAAGCTAGCCAAAGCTGCTCGCGTCTCCGAGAATACCGCCAAAGCTTGGCTTAAAAAAAGCCATCTGGCAAGTGTACCTGCCGGCTTCCCGATACATCCCAAGAAGTTAAATTTGACATTACCATACCCAATCGTACCCATGAAGCCGACCTCCCATTTCTCCCGCACGACAGGGTGAGAAACAAAACGTACAAGTACACCCTGACCCCGTAAGGTCCATGACATCGTACCGCATCGACCGAATGGACATCAAAGACGACGAACCGAATCTGTATTACTTGCAAGACGGACCGGGTAGGGGATTTGTCTGAGAGGACTTTATGATCGTCCCTCACGACACGGTATTGCCCCCTTATTAAAAATTCGTCTTATGTCTCTCATTATCAGCATGTGGAGATTGATTGAGAAACGGTTATTCAGACGCGTCAGGGTGGACGTCCATGGCCTCGATATTTACACCGCTCTGCGTCGAATCATAAGTAGAGGGGGCAGACCCACTACATAAAGTCGTCGCTGAATATTACGGCTACATTTAAATTGATCGGTCGGTTTCCAAACCCCGTTGCTAAGCTCGGCCGCCATCTTTGTTTGGTTTAGCAACTAGGGTCTTGGCTGGCGGCACATCGAAGGATGCTTCTCGATAGACCATCGCCGTTATTAATGGGGGCTGGAAGGCTGAATACCCACAAATAAGCCTCTAAGCCGCATCTGCGGCAGAGCCCCGCATGTACTACTGCTCCACGTGCATGCGTGTGTATGTGTAGCTGCTTGTACTAGCCCAGATTTAAGCTGTTTTTATAGTGCTGGCTCACTGAGATACCATGCCGCAGTTTAGCATGAATGCCCCACTCAGACACATTATACTGACTCCGAGTGGTTGATAATATGACAAGCATTGGAGAAATTAAATCCCGACAACGATTTCCTTAAAGTATTGATACACATAAGTAACTTATCATTTTAGATATCCGCCAAGATCCGGTTAGGAATTTGTCTTCAACAACCCACGTTTGTCATAAGAGGCGACTAACGGGATCGGGTGGTCAGGCTCGCTGACTTGGTTAACACATGTCATCGTGTTCCAGTTGCGTACCTCGATGCTCATGACGTTAATCACAGGATTGTCTGGCGTGGACTCGATTATTTACAGACTGCCACCATATAGCTGCATGGAATATTGGTGAGTGCGGCATTAAACAAAAAAACACAACAAACAAATAAATCAATTAAAGATGAACCTAAGCCTGGAAATCCAATTCGAAGACAAGAGGGTAAAATTTTATCTGTCATACTACTAGTCATAAGCAATGGTTTTCAACAGAGACCCAACGTTGCCTCCTTCAACTTTTCGAGACTATATATTCGTGAAAACAGAAGCGTAATATAAACACGCTTTCGCAACACACCTTCAAGTAAAACTACACTGATCATTGTTTTCAATACCTGTGGTTCTATTATTGTTACGGTATACGTGTAGAAATCAGCCCTTCTTGTGTTGTCTTTGCTGCATAGATTAATTTTTTTAAATTAATCAATAAATAGGTGATATATGTGCCCACCTTTGTTAACTTAATGGCGAGACACGGGTGCATGTAATTCATGGATGACTTCTGAAAACTCGATGTACACAAACAATAACAAGTTTAAAAGATGTCAAAACTTAGAATACTAGAAGAGAACTAAAGTTTTTTCCGAATATCACTTTACTGGAATCACACAATATATTACTATATTACAATGTAAATTCTTTTAAGCCCCAACTGAACATTTTGTTGAAGTATTTATACAAAGAGAAATATTCAATAATGATGTCTAACTTTTTAACTTTAACTTCTTCTCATAACCTTTATTCTATTCGTATAAGCACACACCATACTTGGACTTGTTTATCCACAAATCATTCAGTTGCATTTTTTTCTAGTCCTTCTGCAATCGTACACTTATCCAGAATATAAATATCTATATATAATAATAACCTTATAATATAAGGTTGTTTATGTATTATACAAAAATAATAATGGCCCCGAAACTGATACTTAAAGCACGCCTACCATCATGGACATACATGCCGAACTGTATAATGAAGATAAATACCAAAACAATTCAGTAGATTACCACTGAATTCATATGATTGAAACTTATTTAAAAGTCACTATTTTTCTAATATTGCAAAACACCATCCTTACGTCTTTGTGGTTATCTAATTATCGTCTACACTGTTGAGACAAAAACGTCTTCCAAAAGCTTAAAACTTCTAAGTGCAACAGGTTTGTATCTATTGCACCCTATCCCGTTAGTCGCCTCATATGACAAGCATGGGTTATTGAAGACCAAATCTAATCCGTATATATCTTCACGGGTAAGAAGAGGTATTGTAATATTGTCAGAATTACATTTTATCACTTCTAAAAGCCATGAACTAAATTGACATGTGACAATGCGCAACACAATTTAATACAAATTGACTCAAATACTAATTTGCAAAGATAGATTGTACAATGCATAACACAATTTGATACGAATGGACTCAAATACTAACTTACAAACACTGATTGTACACACAAAAATTTACAAATCAACCCCTTCTGTCGAAAGCAAGACTGACTGAGAATTGTTTTACGCCGCTTTTAGCAATATTCCAGCAACATCACGGCGGGGGACACCAGAAATGGGCTTCACACATTGTACCCATGTGGGGATTCGAACCCGTGTCTTCAGCGTGACGAGCCAACGCTTTAACCACTAGGCTACCTCACCGCCCCCTCGAAAGCAAGAAAGGAGAAGACATGCTCATCTTTTTTCTTCAATCCCTTATGTCAATGTTATTGGAATAAATATCCTTTAGGAAGTTCATCCCATAAGTTGCATCCACAGGGATTAACACGATACGAATACCCTTTAAATTTGCCAGATAGGTGTTGATGACGTGTACGTAACTTTTCACACGTACTGTACTTTCAAGTGGCGATTTGTATATACTGGGATATACACCTGCATACGTTATTTCTGTGCGGCATGCATATCACCGATGGATACAGTAGTGGTTTAAACCATAGTACTTGAGCATCAAAAGTATAGAACGGCTATTATTCTACAATATGTTTTAGATGCCACATATGGACCACATCAAACAGATTGTGCAAGCCTTTGGTAGAGGTACTTGGTACTTGTGTCATCAGCGATAAGTATTCCAGTTCATTTACCCCATGGCAAATCAAACAAGACAATGAGTTCCCATGTACATATAAGAGGCCGTTACTATGTAACATAGCATTACCCTTGCTGAATCTACACCATGATTCACCGGGAATGCATCTGACAAAAATCATTCAAATCATTCACAAGGATTTTTTTGTGGAGCTATCAGAGATTAGCATTTTCCATAGTTTATCCGTTATTCCTACGTCATATAGTTTGATAAACAAGTCATCAAACCATACCCGATCAAATGCTTTTTCATTATACAGGCGACATACTTTCATCGTCATATTTGTTGCTGGGAGAAACAACGGTTTCAACACCCTGGTGACGTCTAAATCCAAATCCAAATTGCAGTGAATGGGAAAATGCTATGTTATTATCAACCCAAGACTCGTACTAAGTTCAAAGAGCTCACTTGATACAGACGTTGTTTTTCATTCCTCTATAGTTTGTAGGGTCATAGTTTCTGTATTAGAAGAATATTATTTATATAAACCTATTTAGAAATGTATTCAGTCAACAATGGCGTTCCTCTATAGCAGGCAGGGTCATATTTACGTTTGCCATGATCTATGTGTGCTGAGAGAATTTGGCCAATAGAAAACGATTTGAAAATGGTTTCAGTTAATAACGACATTGAATTGTGAGGAAATGCAATAAAGATCTATCAACCATTTCTATGTGTTCATTTACAGTTCCAACACAACTGGGCGACTTGTGCACTTAAAATTGTTTTACTGGATTCCATCTTCAGTGAATTGACAATTCAATGGCAACATGATGTGGTTACCTGTATCGTCCATTCCTTCCATATTAGCAGCTCGCTTTTTAACAATCTGAGTGTTGACAGTCACATTTAACACCAGGGCATAGGTAGTTTATTTTTAGTATATCAAGGTAGGTAAGTCCCAAAATTTTCAAAGTCAAATTAAACTTACAAAGATTTTTAAACGTAGTATTCTTGTTATTTTAATTTTGGCTAACAGTTCTTACAATTGCCAGCAACTGCAGGGATGGTGTAAATCCAACTATGGTCCATGCAGGTAGCAAAGGTACTGTAAGTCCCCATGGTCCCTAGTATTGGTTATGTACCTTCTGTTGTTGGCAATCTATAGCCTGTTTTTATATTGTATTGTCCAAATAGTGCTATTAGTTTCAATTTTCCACGCCAGTTTTGATTCTAATTGTGATATTCTAGTTGTTTTACAAGCCTTCGTCGACAGGTTTTTATAATATACATATATTCCATTTTAATGTCAAATATGTTCTCGTCACGATATGGCTGCAATATTGCCGATGTGTCCTTAAATAATAACTCACTCACTCGCTCACTAGTATATCAAGTCCAAACTGATTGCAAGTATCCTTT